TCCGATTCAAAAACATTAAACTCCTCTTGTATTCCAAAATCTTCCGATAAATCTCATAAAATGGTCACTCGAAGTAAAATGAAAAATAATTCTCAAATAATTGACTGTTCACCGAATACATCATCTTTTCACTCCAATGATAATTTTTCAATTGATCTATGTGAGAAATCATCAGATTCAAAAGCTAAATTGATTTTAGAGGAAACATCATATTTGAAAACGTCAACTAAACCACTTGTACAACAAATAAAGAAATTAGAAAAGCGCTCTAAAATAAACGTAATTTTAGATGATAATGTTCCCTCTCGTGTACTGACCTGTCCTTCGACGCTTTCTCGTGGTTCCAGTTGTTCTGCATTATCATTATCATCATCATCACTTAAATCTGATGTTCAACTATTTTCATTATTATCAGATAAGTATTCATCTGATATTTTACAGTGGTGTGATAGGCTGTGTTCATCATCTTTCTTGAATGACATTCCAAAAATCTGTTATAGAAGTCAAATGTTATCTACTTCGACTAATTCTAAGACTCAGCTTCAAGTCCCTGTCATTGTCGAAGCTCGCCAAACTCATTCCAGTCCGATAAAAAACAAACAACTATGTAAGCTGAATGATGAAAAAATAATTCGTAAAAGGAAGGTAAGCAGTGAATCCCATTGCGGGAAAAAAATAGTACTTGATTGTTTATCCACTGATGTGTCTTTACCGGAGGCTGCAAATCATATGATTACTGATAATACAAAACCAGATCACCAATATGCCGAGATAAAACAAAAATGTATTAATTTCCTATTATCAACCAAAGATTCAATTAAAAAAGCGCCAACAGATTTATCTAGTGAATTAAAACAAACGAATATGCCAATGGAAATTATTCTATCTTCACTAAATACTATTTTAACTTCAGTCAATTATTCAAATTGTTCGTTACTTTTAAATTCAATGGATGAGAAATTTGTATCTTTATGTCATGGTATAAGTGTTGATCATCAAATGGAAATGTTGCATTGCTATCAACAATCTACTCAATGGTTACTTAATACTTGTAATAAATTCACTGAAATAACTCAATATTCGATTGCTTGTGGTGTTATTTTCAAATTATTATCTACTAATTTAGATCTTGTTCAAGTAGAATGGTCTAGACAATTTTTAATTCAATATCTGAGTCATTTATTTCATCAAGCATTTACACAACAAGATTTTGCTTTATATTTAATGCCACATATAATAGATAATTGTTTAATTGCATTTCCTAATTTATGGTGTAATGTGGAACTAATCAAAAATGAATTTGAATTTCATTCGCGTACTTCAGCGGTGGTTGATAATAATGATCACTTGTCATTTTCCTACATAACCACTACATTAAAAACATTATTAGCTTGGCAGGAGGCACGAGAAGCACGAAATGTCTGTTTAAAATCTGATGTTCAGTCTAATTCTAACCAGGTAGCTGTTTACCGTAGACTTCGTCAAAAAGGTTGGCTACCAGCTAAAGCATCCGAGTCTTCAGCACCTATTGAGATACATAATTTTGCATTCTCTCAACAGACTCATCGTATTCGCTGTTTATGTCTTGAACTGGTAGATACATGTTTAAATGTGTGTCGTGATCATATCACAGATGATTCTTCAACACACGTGACGATATTGTCTAAGACGGTGGTTGATTCAGATATTATTTACTCCTTAAGATTAATTTTATCTGCAATGGCTTTTGTTGTTGGTGAGGAGGCAATGATCGGTTTCCATGATGAACAACCTGCCAGTGTTTCTTCAAGATCTAGAAATCATCAACGTACACGAAGATATCGGCAAGTGGAACGACACCGACAGCATGGTTTGTTAGGTTGGCTTCTCACGGGTCGACTACTTCCATGGTTAACAAAATGTTTGAAGTGAGTCTGATTAACTAATTAAAGTGGTACAATAAAATTTTCTGGTCACACTTTTCATATTTTCCTGTATACGGTCAAAATAAATCATGATATGTGAATAATTCCATTTTTATAAATTATTAAAAAGCTTTTAGCTATAAATCAGTCCTGTTATTGTATGTCTAATGAATTTGTAAGCTGTACCTCTATTATGAATTACTGATCTTTGAAAATTCATAAGTAAATTATTCAGTCATTAGCAGCTTAGAATTTGGCGAATGAGTGGATCGGCTCAAGTTGCCACCAGCATATCAACACAGTGAGATGAAATCGTCAAGATAAATTTTAGTCAGATTCTTAGAAATAATAGTGAAAGTGATTGAATAATAAACAATGAATTTGTGAGATCTCAAAGTGCAAATTAATTTTAAAAGTGAAAATTTAATGGGAGATGAAGAGTGAGTGTATCTGGACCTTTGTGAGATATTCTGAACCTCTGTGTCACCTATTGTCTCTATCCTCATCTTGGTAGTCTGCATTTATCAGTGCACAGTAAACAATTATCTCTATTTTAGTTTTACTATTAAGAATAAGGAGATACTAGGTAGTCTCGCTTGCTTCAGTGAAGCTTGTTGCTCTTACTGACTCTTCACTAATAGACTTTATAATCTAGTAAATCTACTTACAGGGCGCAAAAAAGTGAAATCATAACATAATTTATCTTTGTTGTGTTTTTATATTAACTATTCTGAGAAATTAACTCAATGTTCAAGTTCAAACTTATGTTTTCGATTTTAAGATACATGATTATCTGTGATACTATTCGATTAACCATACTAAAATAGATAGAAAGTAATATTCTAATGTAAATCCAATTGTTTAAAAGTTGATCTTTTTTAATGTTAAGCCATGACTTCACGAATCTAATTGACCAATACTTTAATTTTTTTCTTTATATTTTAATCCCATTTAACCTTTTTTGTTATAGTACATAACTTTTACTGAATACTAACTGTTTAAATTTTATGTATGTACTTTTTCTTTGTAAACAATATAGAATGAAAGATTTGTTATCAAACAATGATATATTGAATCTTATCAGTCGTTTAAGTTGTTTAATTACAGATATCATTATCTATGGTTCACATTTATTCAAAACTAATAATCCTGGGAAACAATGTAATTCATTAAAACAATTATTATTCGATACTGGAAATCAATTTTTAAATATATTAAATCATCATAAATCAAAGGAAATTATGAATAATAAATTATTATTCATCTATATAATATGTTCCATTCGTTTAATTGCTTTTAATCCAAAATTAATTATTCAGTTTATTGGTAAATTACCATTGGAGTTAATAATTAAATTTATTGAACAAATAAATCATAATGAATTATTCTCTTATCTATGGCCATCCACGTCATCATCATCATTGTCAACAACATCTTCAATAACACATTCATTGAAAGATCTAATTGAACAATCTATTTCACTTGTAAATAACAGTAATAATAATAATAATAGTGATAATTCCTATATATCTGCTGAACTGTTACAACAATATACTCAAACATGTCAAATAATTTTAACTAAGCTATCATTGTAAATCTCTATTTGTTTAAAGATAATGATTTATTTATTTGTACATTTTTTGTATTTATAAGTCTATAGTTTTGTAAATTTTTGAGTTTAGTCTTTGTACATAAAAGAAAAAAAGGACTAGTCATATTTTGTATGTCAGGAGACAATAAACAGAAAACAACTACATATTTGTACATTCACACTATTTATTTGTACTGGATCTTACTTGCAATATTGTTATTGTTATGTATATTGTTATATATATTTATCAAAATTGAAGAAATACACAAATTGTCTTATTGCAAGTCAGTTTCTGTGTTTACTTTTACTAATACATATATGTATGTGTTGCATGTTGAAGTGATGGGTCAGTGGTTAAAACATTTGATTTTCAGGTTCTAACTTCACTTCGCTTTTAGTTCGGTTTAAGCAATTGATTAGTGTCAATAGCTCTCATACTTACATATAGAATATTTTCCAAAGCTAAATAAATTAATCTGTTTACCTGGTGAATGAGTTGAAGAACATTTGTATAATTAGAATGAAAGCTAATTTCAATTATTTTTTGTCAGCAGTAGCTTGATTTGCTTAATAATTTTTACTATTTACATTGAAAGTAAAATCTTTCCATTAACGAAGTGTAGTATGGGATAGGGGAGTGGGATGAGTGACTTATTAATCTGAACAATTGTTTTTTTTAACCGGTACAATTCAAACTTGAGTCTAATAAACTTTCATAGGCGACTAGTATCAAGTATCATCATAAAAGTGAGTACCTTAGAATCAAATATACAAATTTACGTTTGGTTACCTAAATGAATTAATTAAGTCAAATAGTATTCCGTTTGGTTATCTGCGCAAACATATACATGCTGCTTATATTATATTTCTTCAGGAGACCAGCATTTTAAGATCAGTTTCATCTTTGCCGATGAACGTATTAAGTTGCTATTCTGATTCTAGTAGATTTCAAAGGCTTCACTGACTACTGCTGTACTATTGTTGAATAGCCCAACCTCTTATGATTAATGAGTGAACAACTACTGAATAGGTGAATGTTTGTTTGATAAGGCAAAAAATCAGTGTCTTACGAGATAGTTTGATAGTATAAGTCGTTACAAAGGTGAGTATTATTCTCAGTCCATACAAATATAAGAACGTTAGAATTGCAATAGTATTCAAACATTTCTACTGAATTCAGTAGTTTACGTTGTTAGATGATGGAGATTGGTCGATCGGGAACCCTGCCTCCAACTGTTTTGCATCTGAGTAGATTCAATTAGACTAGCAGCCATATTGCAAATTGACAGATTTCTATCGATCAACAATGAAGAAGAACCAGACAAATATCACATCTCAGCAATCAGTCAACTGTAGTTCACGTTTTTCAGTTAAATTTGAGCTGCGAACTATTTCCAATTTAAACTACTACCTAATATGAAATGTGTTTAGTTTTTAGTTAATTTTTCCCACACATATATGTTTTTCAAAAAGTTATTTTCCCCCACCTTAATTGAATTCAGACAATGGTGGTACCTTTGCCAGCAGTTGCGGAGCGTATGAACAATCCGAATAATCCAGTCGTTTTCTTTGATGTCACGATTGGTGGACAGGTAAATGTAGTCTTTAAATTTTTATTCTTTTTTCCGAATCATATTTCTTGATTTATTTGTATAAGCCTATTATGTTGATCATTCAGTCATAAGCCTTGTGGAATCTGACATACACATCGGTTCATGTTATCACACCATATCAACATACTGTGATGAAATTGTTAAGGTAGATCTTTGAGTAGTAACAGTATTAGTGGTAGTGAAAGCGATTATGCACAGAAAGTTTACACAGTCCAGTAGAATAATGATTGTTATTGAGACTTAATGTAATTCCCGTAGAGATGGTGGAGAAGATTTGTAGCTCAGGTGGATGATTTTGGTGGAGTTTTGTTCTCTGAGCTGGATGGTTTGGTCGTGGAGCTTTCATCGTTCTTCTATCTGAAGTTTGTGCTGATGATGTCGTTCAGAAGAACGATGAAAGCTCCATGACCAAACCATCCAGCTCAGTGAACAAAACTCCACCAAAGTAATTCCCGTAGCACTATCTACATTAAGTTTTTATTGATTAATTGATTTTTCAATTTCATATGATTTCAGAAAACAAAACAGTTTGGTTGGATGGTTTTTGGAAATAAATTAAATTTGATGATTGTTTTTTGTTGTAGCCTTTATTCTGTTGTATCATCCACCTGATTGGTTCTCAGTACTATAGAACCTGCTCATTACAAGGTCGCCTACACCGATCAGATCAATAACTTTCTCTGTGATCATTAACACAAGCGACCACCAGCAATCACAGTGATCATATTTCCTGTTGATTCAACATAGTTTTTTCTTTCCCCAGTATCCAGTCAGTAAAATGAAAACAGTAAGCCGATATGGCTTTTATTATTAGGAGTTGAGTACTCATAGAATCATATTAAGTACACAACCATAGTACACTACATATAATGAATCAATTTGTACACAACTAAGTCACATGTGATACAAAACGAGGCAACAACAATTCAGGAATCATAAAACGTATATAAACAGTTAACAAGTTAAATGAAAGCTTATAATTACGGCAATATGAAAGTATCGTAAACCAAATGTTTACTAATTAAATAATAAAAATAAGCATAATAATTGACCGTGTAATAGTCTTTAGAGTTGCATCTTTTCTAAAGTATTTTATTCTGTGTAACAGTTTTCATCATAAACTGCTATTAGCTGGAGAACCATTGAAAATCATGATGCGCTGATGAATAGATAGTTCGTCTTTTTTGGGACCTATTAGTAATGTACAGTTTCATCAACTAATTTCCACCCTTACAGTAGTACCTTGCGTACAATTCCTCAACATTATTCACTTGGTGAGGAAGGTGTTGAAGACACCTGTTGGATAAGTACATACATTAGGTTCTTATAAACTTTTAAGTCTAATAATTTCCTGATTGTTTCCAGTTTTTTTATTCCTTTCTTTATAGGAAATCGGTCGAATGCAATTCGAATTATTTCAAGATATTGTCCCGAAAACTGTAGAAAATTTTAGGTAGGGATCATTTTGTATTCTTTTTACATTTTATTATTGAAATCTGTTCAGCATTACCGAGACATTTGTTTTTGCTTACTTGTCTTTTTGATTAAAAATTTAATATAGTCTTACTCAGTCGTCAAATAAAGAACCATGTATTCACTTTCAACTGAAGGACATATCAGTATATATGTGTTTAGAATAGGGTGTTGATCACACTATCTAGTTCGCGAGACTGGATTAGATATGCGAATCAGAACTGGGTTTCCCAAGGTTAGAAGTTTAGTGCTTTAGCCTGTTGGGATATTCAGGAAAATATCCCAAAAATTATCCTGTTAAGCCTAATGCTATCCTTGGACATGAAATGGTATCATCTTATTGGTCAATATTTATTTGACGTGTTATTTTCCTGTTGGCCATTATTGTACAATGTTATCTTCTACTTTATGGTACGTTGTGGACTGCTTGAATGGTATATAAACAAAGCATGTTTGAAATATAATGATTCATATATCCGAGGCTGTGACTTGCGTTCTGGACTCGACTGGCTGGGCTAGACAGGGAAGCGAGACCAATCAGAACCCTAGGTCGTTCTACGTGTTTGCGCGTCTTTGGTCCGATCAATAATTCGCTACCCTTAATCCGTAGCATTTATTTTTCACGTTATAACAATTGGCGACGGGGTGAAGAAAAGATACAATCCAAAGTCATTCCGTAATTGGACGAAATCCAGTCTAATTATTCAACCAATCAGTATCCAGATTGTCATCAGTGTCCTTGAACCACATTGGTCATTAGTCATACAGTAATTTTCATCACAGGTGATGATTAAAAAAAATGACTCTCCCTTCCGATCGATTACAGCTGCTCTTTGAACGACATTTGGACTTATTAGTCAAATTCCGCACGCAGCTGCTAAATCACTCATGCTATGAAGACGCGACGGAAGTGGATGGATTGATATCTGAAATACACAGTGAGCTGGAAAATGACAGCAGCCTTCATGAATCCTCGATGAACTGTACTTCAAACGAAACAGTCATCCATCATGCGCCCAGTGGTCCAGTACTTTCTATTCCAGAAACATGCCCGGTAATGGAGTCAAACTCCATCAACCCCGAAACAGCATGCGCAGACAGTAACATATCCAGCTCACGAGAAGATCTCATTGTTTTGCCAGAAAATGTGTCCCACGCATCAAATAATAACCAAGAACCTGGTACAGTTTTGTTGGACGCCGATTATCATAATGCTCCACTACTTACTAAAGATTTAAACCCTGATGACTTCGAATTGGATGGCGTTTATCCTCAATATCTGATCGATTTTACTGGATTCCCTGTGCAATATGTTTTAAATACAATCAAATTAATTGTAATTTGGGTTTATGAAGACCCAACATTATTTCGCGGGGGAGGATAGACGCGGAAAAAAATTTCAAATCCGGACATCAACTCCGGATCTCCAAAAAAAGGGAGGTGTTGGGATATTCAGGAAAATATCCCAAAAATTATCCTGTTAAGCCTAATGCTATCCTTGGACATGAAATGGTATCATCTTATTGGTCAATATTTATTTGACGTGTTATTTTCCTGTTGGCCATTATTGTACAATGTTATCTTCTACTTTATGGTACGTTGTGGACTGCTTGAATGGTATATAAACAAAGCATGTTTGAAATATAATGATTCATATATCCGAGGCTGTGACTTGCGTTCTGGACTCGACTGGCTGGGCTAGACAGGGAAGCGAGACCAATCAGAACCCTAGGTCGTTCTACGTGTTTGCGCGTCTTTGGTCCGATCAATAATTCGCTACCCTTAATCCGTAGCATTTATTTTTCACGTTACAACATAGCCAAACTGTTAATTTCCGTCATACTCCACAGATTTTACAAATCTCATGAAAGATTGATTTACAAGGAGTATGCTGGTTTTCATTCAGATTGTGAATACACTGATCACATCTTCATTCTCTTACAAGTGTTCAAATAAGGATTTTGATTCTCTATATCAGTGTATTCGAGTGTTTTAGTAGAGGGTTTACTGTGTATTTACTTTTAGTTAAGTAATCGTTTGTACTTTGTGTATGCCAAAAATATTTTCCACTAGTTTTCATTTCGGATACCTTTATGGCCATTTATGGTTCAATCTCTCGTGTCTAACAAATTTAGAACATGACTATTTGTAATTAACTTTATTGTTTATTTTGTGTCTTGATTTCCAATTACATAATAGGCAATTCTGTACAGGTGAATACCGTAAAGATGGTGTACCAACTGGTTACAAGGGAACATCATTCCATAGAATCATTAAAGATTTCATGGTACAAGGCGGGGATTTCATTAATGTAAGTTGATTCATATATTAAGTACTTTATTTTCAGCTATTTCTTTCAGTGATTGTAAGCCAGTGACTTTACAGAGTTTGATTGTTTGAATCTCAACTTCTGTGTTATGCATTTGAGTTCTGTTTCATCTGCGTTAATTAAAACTGTAACTGAGTCTTTTCTATACGCCTAAGCTTATCAAAGTTCTTTTTTGTCGTAAAATATAACAAGTCTATTGATGAAAACTCAATCTGATTTTATTCCGTAACCGATAACTGTTTGGAAGCTTAATAAAGAATTAAAAAAGGTGTATTCACATACACCACATGCGAGTAAAATAACATTAATATAACTGGTATTAATTCATTGTTCACAACCACCCTCGAATTAGTGAATAGTTTTTCAATCCTTCTTCCTTTGAACTCCTCAAACCTGTCTATCGTACAATAATGATAATAATAATTACTATTATTACTATAAATGACATATTATTGTTGTTTCACGATGAATATATAAACTCATAATTTGTTCAGTGATTGCCTTTTTAACAAGAACGAGTTCTAGTAATCATGTTATCATCAGTTTAGATTCAGGTTTGAATGTCGTTATAGCCAGAGATAATTTGTGTATCAGCGTGCTATATCTTGATATATTTAGGCGAAAAAAAGTGTGCATCTACACATGTTGAACACATATTTCGATAACATGTGAACTTTTGTGGCCCGATATCTGACTCCAGTTCGATTGTATGAATGATCGTTGTCAAAATTATACATCCTGGCTATCTTCGTATATAACCATCGACTTATCTCGCATTAGTGAATAACGGAATCACATAAGTCGAATACGAGAATGAAGTTTGAATGCGTATATTTCATACAATCGTTGATCTGACAAACGAGCGGTGAAACAAAAAGAGAGAGAAGCGAAATGACACGCGGTGGAGAAGGAGTGTGGGCCAACTCAATTTAATCAAGCGTTAAGCGATATTTATAGTCGCATAAAAATGAGTTCCAGATATGTAATGAATGGGATAAAAAGTGCACACAAATACGCTCATATGAAAGCAGTCAAGGTTGATAAGCGAATAATTGACAAGGTCAAAATGTGATTTAAGAAGAATGAATTAATTGGCTTGTCCGGAAACCAAAATAAACTATGTGAGCTCGTATAGTAACCGATACTACAAAACCAACTACCCTTTCTTAAAGTACTTATGGTCATATTCTCAAAAGCTAACATTAGGGACCAAGGAAAAACAACAGTTGTCAGCCCCATGGGTAAAGATAGTACACCCCGTCGCATATATGTTAGCAAAATCAGATTTATGAAATAATGATCCATCGTTTTAGTGATTGTTAAAATATTTGAGGTGAGGGGGGGGCGATGATGAACCACTATATTTGAATATATATGTGTCTGTGATATGTTTCTAACTGAACATGTTTTGATTTTTTTGCAAATTATGGTCTGTGAAAAAAGTTTCTGACATTGTGTAAGCGTTATATATCAGTAAATATTCTACCATAACGAAAAGACAATGTTCGTTTAATTAATCGTTTTTTCAGGGTGACGGAACCGGATCGTTTAGTATTTATGGCGGTGTACAATTTGCAGATGAGAATTTTGAAGTGAAACATTGTACTTGTGGAATGCTGTCTATGGTAAGTAATGTGTGCTTCCCTCTTTTTGTCTCTCTCTCGTCCCACTATTTAGTTCATATTTTCTTATTTGAATTTATTCATTATGCAACGCTGATATGTACTGAATAGTTTTTTCAGTTTAAAACATTATACTTGGTTGCACTGGTAAAGGTTTGTAATTTCTCCATTTTTTTGTTCAGAAATTGAATTGAATTGTCTTTTACAATATATGCATTGTGTACAGATTGCCTGTATATGTGGCGTTATGTCACAAGTTTTAATATATTCGCTATGTGACTAATAGTGGAATTCAGAGACTGATAGATTTCAGTTTTGAATCCCTACTAATGACTATGTACTTCTTGGACAAGTTATTGACAATCTGTTATCTAATATCTCCTATTCAACTCGTCAAATCACCATATCATTACTATTCTTATGGATTTATGCACTGAAAAATGAAATTCTCCCAATGATGTATTCAAAATTGAAAAATACAATTTTGGCGATAGGTAGTCAGTTCATTAATTGATGATCAGTAATTTACACCGTTGATCAATGAATTAGTTGTTTTTATTACTCCAGCTTTATTATTAAGGATTACATACGATTTGATTACAAACCTCAACTCATGAGGTATCTACGGCAATTAACGCGTCTGCGTATATGAAGTGAGAAAGGCTTCCTGTAATAATATAAAGAGTAATTACAACATATGGTAGCGTTGATGACAAGTGATAGCTGTATCTACTGTTAACAGCAATTTATAAGCTACGAAAATGGGAACTAAAAGCACATAAGTATGGAAGCTGTTGGGTTTAAACAAGGATTCTGGGAAAGTACGAAACTAAATAACTTACAAAGGTTGAACGAAAATAATCACAATCAATACTGTAAATGTTATTAATCACACAACAAAGTACGTTATACCATACATTCAGCAATTATTAGAAATGCAATTGATTACTGAATATTAACAAGTAGTATAAACAACAATTCTCGTAGCCCTTTGGTTACTTACGGTCACAAGTGTGAATAAAGGAGGGTTGGACATTGGGCCAACAACCTAATCCCGTAGAAAACAATCTTGCAAGAAGAGTCGTGACGTCTCGTGGTGAAAGCCGAGATTCTTCGGAAGTCACGAGGCTGACGCCCTTCTAACAACCAGAGCAACAATTAATGTGAGTACATGGAATTTCCGCATAATGTGGGAGACTGGCAGAACCAATCAAATAGCTAAATAAATTAGGAGATACACCTTGACGGTGCTCGTAATAAGTGAAATCCATTATACCCGTGTTAGACAGAAAAGATTATATTCGGGAGAGGTGCTTTTTTATTCTGGTCATGGAGAAGAAAATGCTATGTACACACAAGGAGTTGAACTGATGCTGTTTAAAAGCACTAAGAGCACTCATGAATCCGGAATCACCAAAACATTCTTCGAGTTGATAATAATGAATTTTATTTAGTGCTGTGCATCCACCAATGATAGCAATGAAGACGGTAAAGGTCAGTTTTACAAGGACCTGCAGTTAATCGTAGAGAAATACCCCGGAGAAGACCTGACCATCCTGATGGGAGACCTGAACGCCAAAGTCGGAATGGACAACACTGGTTACGGAGATATTATAGGACGGCATGGACTGATTAGGAGAAAAGAACGAATATTGCGAGAGATTTGCAAATTTATGTGCATTCAACAAAATGGTTATTGGTGGCACTATGTTCTCCCACAAATACATGCACAAATCTACATGGGTTTCATCGGATCACTGCAGAGAAACTGATCGATCATATTCGTATCACTAAAAAATTCAGAAGGTCGATGGAAGACGTGAGGACTAAGAGAGGAGCTGACATCACTTCAGATCACCATCTGGTGGCTGCCAAGATGAAACTGAAGCTAAAGAACACCGGACAATTTGGGAGACAGCATTGAAATACTTAATACAACATTCCTTCGACATACTGACTAACTCAATGAATTGAAAATAGATCTCAACAACAGGTTGAGGGCCTTACATCATCAACTCAGACAAGATGAAACTACTATGGAGGATAATTGAAAAGGGAGCAAAGAAGCACTAACTTCAACGTGTCAGGAGTTGCTGGGCCGCACGAAGAATCATCATAAGGAGTGGATCTTTATGGAAACTGTGGACAAGATTCAAGAAAGAAAGTAGAAGAGGACAGAAATTAACAACAGCCGAACAAGAACAGAGGAAGTCAAGACACAAACTGAATACACAGAATCAGACAAGCAAGTGAAGAAGAGCATTAGAGCCGATAGGCAGAAGTATGTGATAGAGCTAGTAACGACAACGAAAGATGCTGCATAAAAGGAAATAAGAAACAACTGTGTGACACAATAAAGGAACTGGCAGGGAAATATAGTAAACCAGAGAGACTAGTCAAGGACAAAGGTGATAAGCCAATCACTGAAAGTCAAGAACAAAGGAACAGATGGGTAGAGAACTTTAAAGAACTCATGAGTAGATCAGCCCCACTGAACCCACCAGACGTCGAAGCACCACACATAAACCTTCCTAGAGATGTCACTCCACCAGCTATCGAGGAAATTAGGATGACCATCAGATAAATCAAGAGTGGGAAAGCAGCACGACCTGACAATATAACATATTAAACACTGAATTAGACATAAAATTAACTGCAATGTGCATTCCAAGCGAAGACCCTTTCCGAACAACGCCCCCTGCTCTTTCCCTTTCTTTTCTGGTGGTCGATTGGATTATGCTGACCTCCACATCTCAGGAGAAGCACGGATTACAATGGACAACTTGGATATGGCTAGATGATTTAGATTTGGCAGATGACCCAACTCTTCTATCCCATATACAGCAACAAATGCAGGTGAGAACAGCTAGTGTAGCAGCAGCCTCTGCATCAGTAGGCCTCAACATGCACAATGGAAAAGCAATATCCTCAAATACAAGACAGATATCCAAACTAATCTCACTTGATGAAGAAGCTCTGTACGAGGTGAAAAGTTTTACTTACTTGGACAGGTTCATCGATAAACAGAAAGTATCTAATGTAGATGTAAAGACACAGACTAGCAAGTAAGGACAGTATTTCTACAACGGAATAACATACGAGATTCAAAACAACTGTCAACCAACATCAAAGCGAGAACTTTCAATACAAACGTTAGGACAGTTTTATTGTATGTAGCTGAAACTTGGACATCTATCACAACCATCATCAGAATAGTATAGGTATATATAAATAATTGTCTACTCAAGATACTTAGTGTCCGTTGACCGGATAGCATCAGCAACAACCTACTATGTCATACAAAAAATCAACTCATCTGAAGTGGAAATTAGGAAAAGATGTTGGAGGTAGATAGGAAATCATTGAAATGCATCATGAGACAAGCTCTAACTTAGAATCTTGAAGGGAAATGTAAAAGGGGAAGACCAAGTAACACATTACTTCGGGAATTTTAGGCAGATATTAAAAGAATGAATGGGAATTGAAAACGACTGGAAAGAAGAGTCCATGATGAAGTAGGTTGGTGACTCTTGGTCGACGGTTTATGCTCCACGACGGTTAACATTCATAAGTAATTAAATCAGTAAGTATAAAGCATCATACAAAAGAGTTAAATGGGAAGAGAATAGAGACAGAAAATGCAAATGAACTTAACAACTGAAGCGCATCACATATAGGAAATCAAAATTAATGCATAAAACTCACTGATAAGTTCGTAATTAGTCAACATTAGTTTACAAATGGCCAAACTTATGTCAACACTTAATGACTTAAATGAAAGCTTATCTATCCCATATCTAAAGTATTTTGTTCTACACGTGAACGTGATGATAATTATTGAGTATAAAGTTTTATTTTTAATTGTCTAGTTTAGTAACATTTTTTAAATTTATTCTCTTTTAGGCAAATAGTGGTCGGGATACAAATGGATGCCAGTTCTTCATTACTTGTGCCCCTTGTGACTTTCTCGATGGGAAACATGTGGTTTTCGGTGAGTTTATTTGTAGTTCATCAATTTGTGTTCTGAGAAATATTTTCAGTTTATTAATACGTTGACAACAAGTATCCTATAAAGTGAGCCACTCTTTTCTTAAAATATGTATGTTTCAACCCACTAATATGTTTCTAATCGTTGACATGTTATGTTCTGCGATTGCATGGGCTTCCCGCTTATACGTATACGCTTTCTGTATGCATTTCCAAACGAGCTACTTGGATGAGAATGTATAAGAAGGTTTTATTGGCCAACATAACCGAACAAATATGTACAACTCCCAATTAAGGAATTTCATATGATAGCGAAGGTGGTTTTGTTTTCTGTTTCTTTCAGAATATTTGCAAACAGATGATATTTGTGACTTCGAAAATCCATACATTTTCATTACATTCACTTCAATTTCCAATTATCGTCAGTAAGCCCTAAACGTATTGCTTAATTGCAAACTCGTTTCTTTTATTGGTCGTTTAATTTCAATCATCACTGTTAGTGATTTTAAAAAAATACAGTTTTCCTCTTTTAGGTCTCTAAGATGTAAACCGATATCCTAGTGTCTAAAATTTCAGCTTATTGAAATCCAGTCTTTTTTTAAATTATCATCAATCCTTCATAAAGATACGGAATATAGTATTTACCATCTCTTCAATCAGTTGTTAAGATTTATTCGAATTTTTAAACTAACATTTCATCATAGGCCGATTGTTGTTGGGTGAACGAGTAATTTGCTTTGAGATCAACTTACCTATAGATTTTTAGTCCTCGATAATTCTTTTAGTCTTGTTCTTTAAACAGAGGATCAGAGGTATGAATATCAGCTTTGTTTTCAGGGCTAGGGTCACATGAAGTAGTTAAAAATATTTATTGGTTTATGTATGGCCTTCATATGCCATAGATGTGTAGGAAATATTTTAAGCCTTTTTAACTCATACTTGCGGATATTTGTTTGTGTTTGTTGTTTGGGAACCAAAATATCTTGGCGATAATCAAGATGTACCTTAATTTATTGGATTTCTTCTAAATTCTACGTCTTGTGGGTAGCTGCTGTTAGTAGGAATTTTCATCATTTGAGGGAAACGTCTTACTGCTGTCTGTTGTTTTTCAATACAGGCAACAAAATGATTTCACCTTTAAGCAACTTTCTAGTTTATATGAAATCTACATCATTAGCCTTCAAATGAATTAAACTGTCTTAAACTTGATTACACAAACTGTGCTTGTTTTCTTATGAGTTACTTCATCGTCAGTCTACTAATTCATGTTAGTTGATTAAGGATCGCTAAAAGGAAGACCTGGATTCTTGTTATGTTATTTTTGGGACACACTATCTTGAAACAACTAATCCTTCTGTTAGGATCTCAACTAATGTCACAACCAGAGACTTTGTTGCTGAGATAGTTGAGCTGCAATTGATCTTCTGTATGGCCAAGATATTTACACTTTTAAACAACGTATGTCCTCATTCGTTTTCGTCATTTTATTCTTACGATTTTCCAAATTCCAGTAACTTAACCCATTACATTTTCGTATAAAATATTCGTATATAGTTTTATTATTTTTAAAAATTACACTCCGAATATTATTTTCGGTCACATTCTTCTTTATTTATCAGGTCGAATTGTCGATGGGATGTTAGTTTTGAAGAAAATTGAAAATGTGCCAACTGGTGCTAATAATCGTCCGAAAGTTCCTGTACTAATATCACAATGTGGAGAAATGTAAACAACTTGGATATGACCATTTATTGGAATTATTCATTATTATTATTATTATTTTCATCACTACACTTATTTGTGTATTGTACAAAGTATAACATTAAATGTTGTTTTCTGTGTGTCAAATCATAATGTTTTAATTAAATATAAATGATTATTTTGAACCTGTGTTCATTGGTTTCATGTGTATGTGTGCTGTTTTTGTTTCACTGTATACCTAGATAAATGAATTTTCCTCTTTTATTTAAAATTAATTTCTATGCATTAAGTTTATCAGTTAATTTAAAATATTTTTATATTAATAAGATATTTATAATGTGTAGCGTTAAATTATTTTTTCGACATAACATCTTCATTGATTGGTGGTGTGACAGAAGCAATAAAAGCCACTTCATTCAACATTATTAACTCTATAAGCAATAGACACCTTGCTGACTACTTGTGTATACCATTGGTTGGGTGGTCCGATCGTGTGTGTGTGTGTGTGTGTGTTAGTCAGTTATTCATATGCAACTTAGAACCTGGGATATACTTGCATTGGTTCAAGTTGCCACAGCATATCACCAAGTGGTATGTCACAGCAGGAGAAGTAGTAATAGCATTAGTGGTAGTGGAAAAGATTAGGCTAAGACAAAGTGGTTTGAAAAGAAAAAGTAGATTATTTGTATGTCAAAAAAACGTAGTATAATTTATGAACTTGGTATCTATAGCTAGACGAAGAGTGAATACAGTTGCGCCATGGTGAACAATTCTGTACCATGTGTATGTTTAATAATAAATATTTTTTTTTTGTTATATCCCAGTGAGTAGAAAGATTGTATTCCTGACGTTTCGTGACTTAATGTAAGCCATTTCTTCGGAGTGAATAAATAACCGAATTCAGAAATACAAATTTTCTACTGATTGGGATATAACAATATATATATTTATTATTAACTCTCTACCCAATGCTCAATTTATTTGAAACTTAAGTTCAACCTTGGAATTAATACCCATAAACTCATGTGTATGTTTGATTTATTGAGTCAATGATACTAAGTAGGTCCTATAAAGTGTCCGGCTATGAGTTTCACTGATCATTTTGTTACTAAATATTCATAATGGTAATACAAAATTGTACTTCCTATGTTTTATTTTAAGAGATTACATAACTTCTGCTTGTCGTTTGTGTATTAACATAATTTTATTGATATTCTATTTACTATGACAAAAACACGTACACATTTCAACATGTATGAAAAAAGTAGGAACTTTTCATGAGATTCGTCTCCAATTGTTTTCCAGACTTCATTGTACTGTTTTTGTACCTTCAACTGTTTAATTGATTTTCATAAAAAAAGAACCCAGAGTTGCGTACAAACAGTTCAACCAGATTGTTGAAAGTTATACAAATGGGTTTTTATAGTCCGTGCGAGTTGTGCACTTGTGCCATAATCATAGATTATGTATACCTTCCTATTTGTCAACTCCATATAGCATGAAGTAATATAGTATATGCTTTAAACTACCTAATGACCAAAAGCTGAGTACTGTAACCATGCTGACTTACCTACAGGAGTCTGAATATTTGAGTAGTATCACTGACGCATACACAACATGTATCTCAAAATTGACGTCATAATCGTGTATACTGTTACTGAATAATATCATTTATAGGACTAATTTAAAACATTTTGTTTTTCGGTAATTATTCACCTTTTAAATTCATATTTCTTCTACTAATATTAATCATAGGCATCCACAGAAATCGCCCCTAAAATCTCCGCTTCTCGTGTGCTAAGCAGTACTCGTATTTCTGAGTTAAATGATTCCAATCTCAGTTATTCATCAAAAGTAGGCAAACTATCACGGCATCGATTACGTGTTGCGCTGGATGATGATGATAGTGTTAGCGATAAAGAAAATGACTATACAGATCTTGACATATCCACTCATTTACCGTCTTCTATCCCTCCAATTGAATCAACCAGAATCCCACGAGGTGAAGAATCTTCGTCATCATCTGATGACGAAAGACGTTTAAATTATGAATCATCAGAACAAGAATCTAACAGTGGTGTTACTGAAGACGAAGCGGAATCTGTTGTCAATGATGATTCTAATGATTCACATGTGAGAAATAACCGTCGTCGTGAAAATGACCTAAAACGCGACTCCAAACGACGTGCTTACTCACCAAATGAAATTTCCGAAGGATACAATACTAATAACCAACATGAACTGCCGTCTGGCGCAGATGATGGTAAGCGAACTAGCCTAAGATCAGTTCACATATTTGATCTATATAAATTAGTTAATTGACTGTGTAGCTCACCTACCAAGTCAGTCATAGGAAACATAGATCCGGGCTCAATAATATGTACAGTGTTGAAGTTACCACACCACATCTTCGCAGCAACAGACGAAATTGTAAAGATTAGTACTAAAATGTTAGAAGTAGTAGTAATGTCAGTTATAGTAGAAAATACTCAACAAAAATAGTTTGTTTGTGGAAAATCCCGGCCGTTGTTGCTACCTTGACGTGGTGGTCGGGCTTGCCTATCGTGGTGAAGCAACCGAGCTATACTGGCTAGAACAACCGTTCCTCAAGGTCCTACCATGTCAGACAGGTCGGTTGAAGAGCGGTAAGACTAAAAGCAACAAACCTAAGGTCTGAAGGCGAAGTCGTACTGCTGACTATACAGAGGTGTGACAGTAAGGTGTTTCCTTCAGACAACCAGCATGACAGCGATGCTGTCTTCCCACAAGGAGGGGTGTGGTTAGAAAAGGTCGACCCTAAAAATCCACACCTTGCCTTATCCCACGGATAACCATCTCCGGCGGTAAGGTCTCAGCAAGTATGGAGCCAACACAAAAATTACCCATGAAAAGGTCGTGTGTGACCGACTTCAAGCAGTTGTCCCTTGAGCACTGCGGTCACTAAGACCACCTCTAATCCAATTTCCTTTTCAGGTACCTCCAGAACAACTCTTCCACGGTGTGGGCAACCGGGAAGTGATAACCGCCCTCATACCTCTAACAGCACTCAAGACCACTGACTGACTGTTTGTGGAAAAGTCAGTGGGTTTGTAGTATAAATTAATTTTGAAACTAAGGATCTTAGGGAAGAAGAGTAGTGAATGTATCTGCGCCATTACAACCAAGTACTCAGCTTTGAGCCGATTTATTTTCTTGTGAGGGATTTAGTATTACTCTCCAACTTCTCAAACCGAAGTAGGTAGCGCAAATTGTTTCGAACTTGTGATATATTTGTTGGGAACTGAATATTTCAATCACTGAACTATCGTTCCGGTTTTACACATATACCTCTAATGTAATATGTCATAGTAGTAGGTGTTTTAGTCTGTTTTATTCCATATAACATTAAATTTTGTTCGAACAGCCGTCAGTCAATCATAGTGAACGTAAAACCTGACATATATCGCTTTAAGTTGCCCCATCAAATTGTCAAGATAAACCTCATTCAGGGTAGTAGAAGTTGTAAAGTATCAGGAGTAGTAGGAAAGATTAAGTACAAAAAATAAAAACATGTGTAGCGAGGTTCTACAACTCGGGATCTTGGGAAGATAAAAAGTGGATGCGCCTACACCATTGCTAACGATCTTGAGCCATCTCACTCAATGTCTCTACCCATTGGTTACGACAATTCCGCCGAACCCAACCAGATAATCTACACCTACCGACATGATTTAGCTCAACTGTCAACGACTTCATGGATTGGTGTCCTGCTTTGCCTTGGTTTTCCCTAGCTTCCCCCCCCCCAGCTTACTTTGCTAGGCAACATCATCCATCTATGTAAGTGGTGGTTGAACATTCATAATACATGTAACCATCTCATTTGATGAAGATTCACTAATTCACCAACCTGTGTAAATTTCAAATAAGAGATTGTCAACATTTTGACCTTTTAGTTTTTTCTTTTTTATTATTCTTTTGTATTTAGATGCGGTGGACACTGATGTATTGGAGAGATTACGTAAGATTTCCAAAGGAGCAGCGAAACGTGTTGTCAAGAATCCTCGTCCCAAACTTGATCCTCAAAGGTAACCATTACATTTTGTACCTCATATATATCCACGTAGGAGGTTACTCACTATTTTATTGATATTCCTGTATTATTTATTCTATACTGTTCTGAGAAACTTCGTTGATTTATCTATATCTATCTCTTTGCTAACAAATTATTTGCGAGCCACTTAACTTCTGCTTTTTTGGTTTTAATAACACCTGATCTATCTGATTTGGTTCTATTCAACATAATGTATGTATTGATGACCGTTTTATCAAGATATTTAAAATAAAAGCCTATTGTAAATCGTGTTTAACTGAAAAATATTTATTGTCAGTTTGTCCATATTACATCTATGGTTAAGGAGTTTAAGACGATATGTATATTCTGTTTTCTAGTGATTCATTTGTTAATGAATATACATTGTGTATTTACAATATTGATTACTTATGAGCAGTGTCTCAATAGTCAGTCAGTCAGTCAGCTACAACGTAGGACCAGGCACATATGTGCATCGGTCCAGGTTGCCATACCTCATTAGCACAGCAAGATGAACACTGGATTCATAGGAGTGGTTAGGTCAAAGGTTGCAATAAGGATATAGTATAGGAAGAAAGAATTAGTTCGTAGAAAGAAAGATATGAAGTGATTTTAATCTCTTAGTTTAAGGGAAGACAGGGAGTGTATACACCGACGCCATTGTGATCGATTCTGAGCCATGTCACCAAGAGTCTCCAACCATTGGTTACGAAAGTCACGCGGACCCCAACCAAGTAGTCTGCATCTACCAACATGGCTCAGACTAGAAGTTAGTGACTTCAGGCACTGATGCCACGTTTTGGTTTGGCCGCCCCTAACTTTCTTCCAACCATCCCCTACACCGGTTAGCATTGCACGTCGTGGTAATCGGTGTTCAGGCATACGTAATACGTGGCCCAACCATCTCAGTCGATGAAGATTCATAACCTCATCAACTGATTTACCACCATCATTACCTAATACCCTGCGTCTAACCTCACTATTACTTACCCGGTGATCCCAGCAGATGCCAGCAATATTTCTAAGGCATCTGTGGTCAAATACTAGTAGCTTACGGGTGTCTTCCACTCTTAAAGGCCATGTTTCGCTGCCGTAAAGTAAGACAGAACGGACTGCCGCGCAGTATACTCGTCCTTTTATTGATAGACGGATATCTCGCCTCCGCCAATCAGATTTAGATTAACGGGTCTTGGATTTTGGTGCGAAATTCGTCCATCCTTTTGGCTAAATATCCTTTTGGCATTGTAGCTGATGTCAGTTCGTGATGAAAACCCTAAATCTAATTCCCAATCCTAACCATCCACTGTAAATCATAATCTTTATTCTTCCCACAGGTTTATAACTCTCATTTAGTCCTAGGTAGTTGGTGAACATTCCCTAAATCAGTTTAGTATTGCGCAAGGGTTGTCCATAAATTATAGTCTCACCGGTAGTACCACTAGCCTTTACACTTAGTGTGACTTGAAGGCAAGTACTCGCATCCGTACTTAGTAAATGAGTATTCAATTAGTGAGTGCTTGTGACACCATAAAATGAAATCATACAATGTTGTAATCACAATCTGACTGACCTTTATAATCTGTTGTTAATTGATGATAAATAGTCCATGTTGTTATCAACTACCTTTTTCGAAAGTATCTAACATAGTTCACTTTGAATATCTTCCGACTAATTTGATCACATACCGTCACTTGGACACAAATTACGTAGTAAAGTCTGGTAGGAAATTCATTAAAGGATGCAACTATCATTCATATTTGCAAGAATGTTGTATGGAACTGAGATCTATCGGGGTTCTATATATGATGCAACTGATTAATTTGAGACGTTATCAGATATGGTTCAGAATAGAAGCTAATGGCGAATCTTCTGTAGTATTGTTTTACTGTTTTCATGAAAGTTTAAGTAACTTATTTAACTGTAAGTCTTTTTTTATTGTACTTGATCGCACGTTGTACACTGTTCTTATTCGTTTGCTTTATTTTTTAAATTGTACTCTACTATTCTTCTTCGTTTCTTCACAACTCTATCTCCTTATTAGTGTGGTACATACTTTTCTGATACTCGATTGTATCAGATTTTATGTTTATTCGGTACAAAATGATATAAAATCATACATATGTAAGTTTTTGTTGATTTCTGGATTTTGGCCAGTTTTGATTAGTGTATGTAAATCTCGATATGGCCATTAATTAACAAGTACTTTTAACTAATGGAGGATAGTGGGTAACAATCGAATTCCGAACTCGCTTTTCATCATGTATGGGACTCGTCAACTGGATTTGCCTGCATCCCACAGTTAATGTCTACTTCAGAACTCGAACCCAATTTCTCTCCCTTCTAGTGCCCAACATACTATCAACTGACCTACTGAGTCCAGATAACACTTTGGGTGTCTATAGTGGATGGTTACTAGACTCGCATTTACGAGTGAATATCAACACTGTCATGCAGATACACCCAGCTGACGAGTTCCAAATATCACGAGACGCTCTTCCTGGATTCCAGTGATGTCCACTACCCACCTCTACTTAAATTCATGTATATTTCTAAAATCATAAACTAGCTATAAGATTCTTACTGCATAATCGCACCACTCATACCAATAAACTCAATTCACCATTAAAACAATAGCGACACCTCGAATAAAACTAACCAGTGCATCTCAAAAAATTTATGCGAATTATTTGTCGTAATGCGACTTTTATCTGTGCCAAATGTTGTGTAAACATAGTTATATCCCGACGAGAATGATGAATGGTAACTTTTGGGATCCATTTATGTGTCAATACTATACGTATATTTTTGTCGTATAATTGTTAAATAACTAAACTATTCATTTTTGTGTTCCTCTTATTATAAGCTTTATTTTGACCTTTAAACTATTATTATACGATTTACCGTTCTTAAGTTATTCCCAGTTTATTAATTACAGTCTCCCACATTCACAGCCACATTTGGTTAAATTTTGTACAAATGTTGTTTTCTATTTTATGGTACAATGTGGTCTGTTTGGTTGGTATATAAACCCAGTATGTTTGAAATAAATGATTCATATCACAGAGGCTGAGATCGGTGTTCTGGACTTGATAGGCAGGACTAGCAGGGAAGCAGGATCGATAATAACCCTAGACTGCTCATACTTGTTTTATGCGTCATTGGTCCTGTCGATAATTCACTGTTCTCTAATTGGCGGTACCATTACATTATACATTGATAGGAGCACAAACCCACAAGTTATAACAACATGAGTGATAAAGTTTTCGAAATTCAGAATCTCAATGTAATTGGTATTAATGTTTCTTTCGGTTTGATAATTAAACTAGAAAATCAGTATCCAATTCATATTAGAAAGATAAGTGTGAAAAGATTTTTCTCTGTCTGTTCTTCATTGAATCTATGGTCTATTGTGAAGCTGAGTTTTTCGAGGAGTGAGAGAAATATCCTTAATGAAAACGTTTGGCTACCTGACAAATCTATTCCAAAAATTCCTAGTATAAATGATCAAATTATTCAAGACTTGGTACATGTTCACATGGTCAAGCAAACTGTAGAACAGTTTTGGGAAATAAATGAATCAAATTTCCATTATTTGTTACATTCGGAGATATTGATATATATCCTTTAGCATTTTTGGCGTACGCCTAATTCTCCATTTATGTCTAATTTTGTCGATCGTTAGTTTATATTAAACTGTTTAACACTAATAAAAAGACTGCCTGTAGTGCAAACCGATATCCAATAACCCAACACTAGTTTCAACTTACAAACCCAAATTTATCTGAAACACACGACTATCATCTATCTAGTTCAGCTATTCTCGATTTACTAACTTTTTATAAAGACTGTAGTTTAATTGCCATATATCTCGCTGCAGCTTGAACTATGGGATGACATAAACATTCTAACCGCTGAGAAACTCCCATAATATGAAAACATATGTGAACGCAGAATATTCTTTTCAATAAATTTCCATCAGTCAGTCAGCTACAACGCAGGACCAGGCACATATATGCATCGGTCCAAGTTGCCATACCTCATTAGCACAGCAAGATGAACACCGGATTTATAGAAGTAGTTAATTCAGTGGTGGTAATATATAAAAGAATGATTGCATATAAGGACATAGTACAGGAAGAAAGATATGAAGCGATTTTAATCTCATAATTTAAGGGAAGACGGAGAGTCTATACACCGACGCCATTGTGATCGATTCTGAGCTATGTCACCTACAGTCTCCAACCATTGGTTACGACAGTCACGCGGACCTCAACCAAGTAGTCTGCATCTACCAATATGGCTCAGACTAGAAGTTAGTGACTTCAAGCACTGATGTCACATTTTGGTTTTGCCACACCTAACTTCCAACCATCCTCAACACTAGTCAGCATTGCTCATCGTGGTAATCGGTGTTTAGGCATACGTAACACGTGGCCCAATCATCTCAGTCGATGAAGATTCATAACCTCATCAACTGATTTACCATCATTCACATCAGTTTCTACAATTATATATCCAAATTAATAATCCAAATAGTGTCCAAGTGTAAGGTAAAATACATCGTTTAAAAGCTATAGCATGTAAATTTAGGATTGTTCAGTAAAATCGAATCGTTAATGTTGTGGTGAATAAGTTTATATGTTAAGTGAAATCGTGAGATAAATGATCAGAATAAACATGGTTAATATGGCCTGAGAGAGAATAATGTAATAAATCAAAAATCACTTAATATGTAGAATAATATGAATTAGGTACTAATGGGTAAATAGGGGTGCATGCTGAATGAATTCCTTAAAACTTTTGCTAGCGTCATAATAATAATATGTGTGAATAAGGTAAGTTTAAACTATGAATTAAATTATTATCTCTTTCACTCCATGTTGACCATATTTATTCTGATCATTAATCTCACAATTTCATTTAACGTATAAACTCAGTCAAGTCAACGCTTCATATTAGCCATCTCAACATTAACGATTTCATGATATATACATGGGTTTAATCTCATTAGTAATGTCTTTAACTACATTGGTAAACCTCTATTCCGTTTTAGAGCTGAATATTTCTCGAGATTACTTGAATTTTTCAAATGTTCTGCTTATCTATTTTTTTATTATTCTTTCACTTTCATTTCATTAGATTATTGAGTAACAAAGGTTTGCCGGCTCTGCTGGAAGATTTCAAAAAAGTTAAATTTCGAGGTAAAGGCTATGAGGTAGGTGTATGGAAAATATCTATCTTTTCATAAATATAGTAAATGAATTTTGTGCAGATTGAATTAATCTATTAGTGGTATTCATCAAAAATTTACGTAAGTTGGCATTCTATTGAAAATCAGAGAACGTTAGAGAGTTGTTTCTTTCGAGTGCAGGACTTCACAACCGTGTCCATTTAGTTGTTTAGTAGTAGTCAAGAGTTTCCAACGAATACTGTAGTCTTTGGGTTCAATCTCTGATGCGATAGTGTATTCACACTGTTGAGGAGTCCCATACTAAGACAAAAGAGCTGTCCAGTGCCCTAGTTTCCAGTTGGATGTCGGGTTACATCATTGTGTGATAAATATGACCCACAAAATTTTGTATTTATGTAGATACACATCAGTGATTAAAGAAAAAATATTTTCATTCAGTAAACTGAATAAGTTAAAACTTGTTAGACATTCTCTACCTGGGAATGTCCGAAATGTCAATATAAAGTTAATTTTATGATGATCAACGTAGAAACTGGATTAAATATACCTCGATCCAATTTGTCACACTGTGTTGCGCGGCCAAATGAAATTGACGAGATAAGAATTTCAAAGAGTCGAAATGACGGTAATATCAATAATAATTATGATAAGAAACATCAAACATAAAAACTATAGTTCGAAAAGACGAAATGAATTAACAAAACATAATAGTGTAAAATATTATTGAAACTGAAGATCTCAAAAAGGCTTTTACCAAGATAATGCTTTTATATCACACTGCAACAGATTGAGTTGCATCAAAAAGAATACGGAACTAAGTTATTTTCAGAAGCTAAGATATCAACCTCAATTGACGTAGGAATATTTACTTCAAACAAAAAATACTATTCATCTATTTAACTTTCTTTAAATATATGCATGGTATTTGGTTTAATTTTTAGTAGAATTCAACACCTATTAAATTCAGTTAAGGTATTATCAAACAGCAGAAAGTACTGGATAATATGTTTTTCATCGTAGTATGAAACTTTCCGACACTTCAGACCCAATCATTGAATGGTTAGGCTGTTGTTATAAGGCCTTAATGTCGCGGTCCTGATATCCAGTAGAGTCGTTTGTTCAAATATAAAGTGTTCTTTGAGGAAACAACTTTTATGCAACAGTTTGATATAACTACTGTTTTTGTCTTTACAATTACCTTAGTGACAAATTCTGTTTATCGTTAATTGGATTTATGGAATAATCACTTTGAATTTGGCTGCTTAGGATTATGATACTTCTTAATAAAAAATATAAATTAAAAGAAATTGTTATTAGAATGGGGGTTTGTGAAGATTGTAGTATTGTAACAGTTGAATTCATGAGTCGACCATCAGCGAAAACCTGGAAGCACTGGACGGCCGTTTCATCCTGTTGTGGGAAGGCCTTTTAGTGATTCCAGATTTTCAATGTTCGTCTAGCTTAGATCGACACATGAATTCAACTATTAAAGGAGATTGTTTTGTCATGTTTTATTTTACAAAATTAGTAAAAAATTGTTAAGGTGCTAGAAAATATGAAATAATGTTCCATACGCGAAGTATATTGTACATTAAACGCGTGTGTAATTCACAATACTGAGTTAGGTTTAGTAGCTTCGTGGTTAAAACAAATAGTCAGTCAATGGTAGATTTAAGTCCTGATCCGTCTATTTCAATTTAGGAAAATCAATTTCACATTGTTATAGTTGTTCTCATAAAATCACTGATGAAGCCTGAAGCTGACTACATAAATTTGTACTTTACACATCAAATTACATGAATGAAATAAGCTTTAAGGATAATTAAAATTGTTTTTATAATTCTGTTTTTGTTATTGTAATTATTTTCATTTTTACAATTTTTTCAAATGTTTACTAGTTATTTTTATATATGTATATGTGTTTTTAAGTTTCAAGATTTGAATAGACTATTATTTGTTTATGAAGCATGGAGTCATCGTTTGGTACCTAGAATGAGTTTTCCTGAAGTTATAGATCGTTTGGAAAGTGTTGGAAGTAAACGTGAAATACGTGTTGCTTTACATCGACTTCGTAATGGTATTTGGCCACCATATACAAGTGAAGAACAAGCAGTACCATCTGATAATGAAAGCACATCAGAACAAGAAGATCCGGATGTAATATGGAAACGGGCTTTAGAATCTGTTCCTGAGGTAAATGGGTTTCTATTCGTGTAGCCTAGTTCACGATATTAGTATAGGCGAAGATAGCAAATTAGTCCATGAAGTAACGAACCTTCAGTGACTGATGTATTACATATACCCAACTATCGTCCACCTTATTGTTCAATCTTCGTTAATGTAGGAGAGTAGGTTAGAAGAGAGTTAGGGGCTAACAAACCAAGATTTGACATTAGTGTTTGAAGTCATTGAGTGTTGGACTGAGCCATGTTTGTAAGTTCATACTACTTTGTTATAGTTTGCAAGATTATCACAGTTAGTTATTGGTAACGTTCTGTAATACAACGATACAAATTGACAACAAATATGACTGCTATTCCCAGAACCATATATCTCAATATCATAGAAGGATATGGCCTATAACTGAGAAATATTAATATTTACAAAAAATACAACTATGTACATTTTTATTCAACATAAGATTAAAATAAAAAGTCATCAAATGTTTCTTCCTGTTTGGTTGGTCAGTAGTGAGTGAAAATATTCGTCTCTAATTTAGTTGCTTCTTGTCAAATCGCTTAAATCAAGAACTATATTTTCCAGTGTTACTGAAGAGCCCATATAAAAAGATCATATATTCAATTAATAAAGGATAAGTACTTAGATCCATATTATTTATCAGTTCGAAATTAGGATGCTACAAAATGACAACTAAGTTTTCTCTCTTTAGTTCTTACTTGTCTTCCAAACTAATTTCAATTTATTATGATTACTATCTCTTCGATTATTTTTCGTTCTATGCTATCAATGGCTTAACCGGGAAACTTCTGAATCAACAAGTGTTCCTCTTTTTTATACACATCATTATTTATTTGTATCCTAGTCATTAGTTTGACTATAGAGTAGTACTTTATACCAGTGGTAGATCAGCTTGTGAGTTTTATGTTGGCTTGATGCCGAAGGAATGAATTTTGTTGAAGTAAAAGTGATTAAAAGGCCAAATAAAATGAGCTCATAAATTAGTTGGCTATTAGTCCAGTTTGCACAGATTTGAATTATAGGCCTCTTTGATTAGGTTCATCAGAGAACCGTAATCATTGATTGTGTATACCCGGTACAATTGCTGTGTTTTACGGTTTCATTTGGTCACGCTCGTGCAACTCAGCAACCATCAATGAAGCGATGGAGGATCAAGACTATGAAGTGAGCCGAATAACTATGACTACAACCTTTGCGTTTATATATATCGTTGATTGATTGAAGTTAGACTTTTATACACCATTGGATCTAGACTCAGTGGTCTAGTAGAGGTTTGAGGTTCCCTATCGAGACTGAGCGTCTTGGGTGCGCACTTCTGAGGAGTCTCATACTAAAACGAAACGGCCATCCAGTGCTCATAAATCTTCATTGGTTGGCCAGCTTAAACCGGTTCGTGATGTCGGTGGGTTATTTATCTATATCTATGGAGAGAGAGGGAGAGATTACCGAACTGACTCATACAGAGATATGTGATTGATGATCCTCAACGAGTGAGTAATTCACTTACAATATCTCTCTCTTATTATACAAACTTGACGTAGTATATGATTTATTCAATCCTATCAGGCAAGTCGATTGTGTATAAATTGAAATCGTTGACTGGTTTATCTTTTATTAAGTTCGGATCTTTCATTTCTTTTTCAATTGGTTCTCTCAGGTTTTCACTAGTTAGTCCACCTACCAATATGTTATTATTACTATTCTGACTCTTACATTCAGTTCTAATGCACTCCTTGACGCGATGCTTTACATCAACACTCATTTATTTCGAGTTCATTATAACGTGTCTATTTGCTTGTATCCTAACCTGTTGATATACTGATTTTATTATTAATAGTGAATATAGAAGAATATACAATCACTGCTGATAGCTTTTTTCGTCATAATGGAATCAAATTACCAGTCCCAAGTATTGCTATCTTCCTATAATTTACCTCATGATATGACTTTGATTAGACAACTACTGAAAGTTGGGGAGCACCAAATTGCCGTTTCATCGTATTATGGGACTCTTCGATAGTCCCATTCTGGAATGAAATGACTGTTCAGTGTTTCCTGGTTTCCAATGGCTTTTTAACTAAGGTCGGTTCATGATCTAAACTATAAAATAATAACGTTCATGTCCTCACCAATGACTAATTTAGGGAGGTAGTCCCTGGAGTCTTAGTATGAGACAATGACTAGTCGAGTCTAATCATATTGAGTGATAGGCAGTTAATTACCTTTCAATGTTATTGGAAGATGGTTGCAAAATATCATGAGTTGATTGAAGTAAGAGATGTAGATCATTAGATGCCAACTCATTGGTCCAAAGGTCATGTGTTCGCTGTAAGATATCCAGATCCTGGATTCGATCTGGGTTAGGGTAGTGGATACACACTGTTGACGGATCTCATACTGAGACAAAGCAGTTATCTAGTGTTTTCTTTAGTTTTCAGTGACTGTCTAACTAAGGTCATTTCATGATGATGTAAATTATAAAATTCAGCCACTTCCCTGTTCTTTTTATCGGTACCAGTTTCTCAGTTGATACTACATTTTTGTGAGTAAATTCAATATCTTGGATTGGATTTATGTTTTATTCTCAGTGACAAGAAATGGGGAAAACACTCGTAACTTTCTGAACTCCTATTATTTGTTAACGTATAACGCGTTGAAGTTATATCACTAACTTTAAAACAATACGTTCACCCATTGTTATGTACAAATATTTTTCTCTATCCTTGTTCAAACGATATTTCACATAGAATTTCTTAAAAGTTTATATGTGTGTATGTATATTATTTTTATATATTTTCACTTAATTGACTTTGTTTAAAACTTGTTTTCTTAATTCCAATCATTTTCACTGTCTTATAGGATGCAATCAATTCTACAAAATCCCCATCTACAATAAATGATGTTTACGGAAAAGAATTGAATCATAAAAATGAAACTGAAGATTCAACTGGCAGCTTCAACATACAATCACCACAAGTGCAACCATCTACTTCATTTGATTTTGAGTCAAGAGCTGAAAGAAATAAACGTTTAGCGTTAGAACGACTTGCAGCTCGAAAAGCTCGTTCTGAAACAATTAATAATGGAAAATTACAATTGTGTACGTTGCTTTTTTATCATTTTGGACGTATAGTTGGTGTGAGGTCACATCTCTGAAGTTTTCACTAGTCAATCAATGAGTATTACAAAAGCTCCTTTATTTATTTAGTCATTATATATATATATATATATATATATATATATATATATATATATATATATATATATATGCAGTGGGGTCTCTACTCCTAATAGATTCATTTAAACATGTGCTATTTATTTTTGATGCGTTAGGAGATAATTTATGAAAAATCTTAGAGCTTCATAACCGACAGATTATGGTATCACTTTTAAGAGAACCAGTGGTGTCTGTATAATCTTAATCCACTTTACCCAGTGTCAAATCCAGAGATGTAAATATCGAGCTATCATATCCGCGAACGATCTGAGATATTTGATCTTATTGATCAGTGAGTAGTAGTTACCGGTTAGAAGTCAACGAATCATATCAGTTTTATGAAGATTGCAGATTCATCATGCTGATAACTGGTGGTCAGCTAAAAAACTAAATAAAAAATGATAAACAATACTTAAGATTTGTATTCAAGTGTAATCCCAATATTCCAATAACAAGATATCATTACCAAGGTTTGACTTGATAATTTCGAATAAACTGATCATTGCGTAGATTGTTATAAATAAATTAAGATATTTTTAATATCCCAATGAGTAGAAAAATTAGATTTTCTGACGTTTCGTGACTCAATGTAAGCGACTTCCTCAGAGAATGAATAGCCAAATCAAAATTAATCCAAGTTTAAATAGTACAACGAACAGCAAGAATATAATGTAACCAATCAAACCTGTTTTTTTATTTAAACTTGGATTAATTTTGATTTGGCTATTCATTCTCTGAGGAAGTCGCTTACATTGAGTCACGAAACGTCAGAAAATCTAATTTTTCTACTCATTGGGATATTACTAATATATTATTTATTCATTCCAATAACGCCCAAAATCGCATCATCCAGACACCAAACATCACTAGGAAATTTAATCAAAAGCAATTAGGAAGTAATATTTTTCATCAACCAGTTCAATTGAATCGAATAACTCTTTAACCTTAAAATAAGAATATTTTATTTTCACAGCGATTAAATAATTACCATGTGACTATAACTTTTTGGTGACCCTGGTATTCTTTCGCTCTTTGTTCTATGGACGTTAAACAGTAGATAATTCTGTTTTTTTTTCTAAGTAAATAATATTAATTTGATAAAAATTGTATCATCTAAGGAGGTTAATCTGAAAGTCTTTTTTACATACTTTCTATTATCCACATATGTAGTAAAGACGTTTAACCTCATATATGGCATGTTCCCTTTTTTTCTGTAAACAATCAATTTTATTTCCAATACATTTTATTCTTCTAAGTAAAATACTTTTCAGATTATTGCTAGAAATAGAATGAATATTTATTTCTAGTTAAATTTATTCTTATTTGTTTCAGCTACAAATCATATATTAAAGAATGCCTTGAAAGCTGCAGTCAATACCACCCCTCTGTTGAACAAAGCTGATACCACTAAATCATTTCCAGACTCTCCTGTGAATAAGAAATTGGATACTGATATTTCCATCGATATACGCTGTTCAGAAAATACTCATACTGTTTCTTATAATGCTACTACCCTTACTATAACACATGACAATCACGAGACTTCTCCTTTTTTGGAAGGAACTCCAGCCAGTCCTGACAAATTACCATCAGTTTTATACGAACTAGCGTCACCATGTCATGAAGACGAGTCAGATCTTGTTATTGATCTAAACTAGATTTGTTACTTTGTTCAATGTCTCGTTCCAATGACTGGTTCATTACTTCATTTTTGTATAAATATTTCGTCCTATATACCTTTTTAATAAAATGACAAGTTAATATAATTTGTGTTTAAAAAAAGTGCTTAAACTAAGGTTGTGATTGGGTTTCTGTGAGAGGTAACAGTTTCCTCTTATTGATTCGGTGCAATACTTCGTTTAAGGAAAGGTATATGACTTTGTAAACCACTGGTATATATTTATTGTGAAGTTTCGAGTAATTTCCCAGGTAAGTGTGAATACAGAATTACGAATATACACATAAACGAGAATATTTTAGGTGAACAATGGTCAACTGACTTGGGTAAATAATAGACATACATATGCAAGTTCACATAATGACTAATTAGATTAGAATGATTAACCTGTTCAAAAATCAAGACAAGTTACGTAGACAATTTTGCCACTACAGGAGAAAAACTGAATGATCAATAAACGTAGCTGGATTTTCGTATGTGGTGCCAGGTACAAGAGCGCTCGAAAAGCATGATGTATCAGATCTCCTATGCCTCCAATAAGACCGGCTGACATCATGGTATCTATTTTGATATGTCTAAAGACGAGTGTGTTTGGACATAAGTGCAATACCTTAATTTGTCGTCATAATGTAAAATAATTGACACTGGTACCGATGCTTCTGTTTCAGTAAAATAAGTAATGAATGTCAGTGTGTGGTGGTATTAGTTCCTAACAACATGATTTTTGAGTCTGAGTGTGGAACTACTGAGATCCACACACAATATGTAACACTAAGGAAGGGTCAACAACAATGAACGCGGGAACAATTAATCTAAGTGGCATGGCTCGGTCGTGTAGGCGCGGTCATTCTTTCTTATTACATCAAACACATTACTCTCTCCTCAGTTCAAATGTGTTCTTCAGAAGTGCAGGACGTCATAACGTTGATTGATAGGATAGGACGAGTCGGTGCATATGATAATGTGAATCCCATGTAAGACCTTATAGACTAGATAGTCACGTTACGACATATCTACATTTTTAGGTTAGGGTTTATTTTTGTGTTAGCAGAGATAAATATACTGTCGAATTAGACCATAATCTTGCAGGTACATATATATCCGTTGTTGAGCATAGCTGTGGAGGCTTGTCTGTCAAATCCTGATTCCTAACTCATTTCATTACTTATCAACGATATTTTTTCTATCTTAATTGGGGAATGCTAAGAAAGATTGTCATTACATTATTCATATAGAGAAAGGTGAGATTAGTGTTCTGGACTCAACAGGCAGGGCTAGGTAAGGAGAAGGACCGATAAAGAATCTAGACGACTTGCACAGTTTTATGCATCGTTTGTCTGGTCGACAATTTACTGTTCTCTAATTGGCAGTATTATTACGTTATATACTTATAGGCCGCAAGATAAAACACCTAAAAATTACTGAGGGGAATGGCTTTCATTATAATAGCTACAACGTCGACAATACCTGATGAACTTTACTAGCAATCGACATACCTGCGTATTAGGCACCTGTGGTATTTGAACGAACTAATAATACCTTTGTACTTGTTGAATGCTTGATTTCGAATTCCAAATACAATACATTCGTTTGTGCTTGTGTCTTACTTCTTAATTCAATTGCGTTAATTCTGGGATTCCTAGTTCATAATACAATTCAAATAATTCAAAACATTATAGCACCCTCTTTTTAAAAGAAGCTTTTTAGAATCTAGGACTATTGGAATTCAATCGTCAAAGGATGCAAACAATCCTTTACTGAAATGCAAATAGTATCCAGACATTGAAAAGGTCCCAATTTGACTAGAAAAGTTTCATCATGCTCAGTAAAGTAAAGGCGAATGCTCGTCTGCTTCATTAGACGTCTTCAAGAACTGGCAATATCAGTATTTCTAAATTATTAAGTGACGAACCTCGAAGAGATTGTCCCTAATAGATTTATTGACGGTATGGACTTGAAGTTGCAGTGAAATAAACTTATGAGACGAGCCCCTGAAATCTTTTAAGCTGCTCTTGATGAGGCGGTTTTGAGGGAGTGGTGTCCATGGTCGCATATCTTGAAGAGCCAGGATACCACAGTGGGACCAAGGTTTCGCAGCGAGCTTTGCAAGTTAGACATGTACAGAAAGTGAGCTTTCGCTCAAAAAATATTGGAGGTCCATTTGATGATGCAAGAGGAATTCAACGGCAGGCATGTTACATAATCCATTAGTTTTGCTTTGTGGTTAAAAAGTCTTCGTCCCAACATTATGTGAAGAGTCATTTAACTGTCCAGCTACTATTTTGTTAGGTTCGGATGCAGTATGTTCTTTAATTAACACTACTCATGTTACTAATGATATGTCTCTATATGATACTCATAATGTACGTCTGAACGCAACCAACTGCACTTAAATGGTTGTTAAAGGTAAAATAACATGGCAGTCAACCCTCAACCAATCGACCTTCATACATACGTCTTTCATACAATACGTCTTTCGTTCAGAATCTATCTTAAAACCTTATTTTAGGTGCAGACTTGTTAACGAAGTTTGGACGATGTGTGAATTTAAAGATTTTTATCGTTCAGAATTCAGTTTGGAAACTGGGTAGGGACGATGGAAAAGACACTCTTAGTTTTCAAATAACGATTATTGCTAATAAAATCGAAACAAGTGATATGTCGTCTTAACTTGCGAACTGCCCTCCGGAGCGTGTGCAATTATTAGAAGGAACGTAAAAATATTCTATGATATATTTGCTTGGGATTCTAAAGATGTTAGACATATGAGGGCTATGGCTCATTAGATGGACAATCAAAATACAAAACCATATAGGAAACCTCCTCGTCAAAAACTGAATGAGATTACAGAACGTGATTCATTCCCATTGTCACGATACTTTAGATGAATCGGTCAGTTCGGAGTGGTTCTCAACGCTGGATTATCATCTGGTTATTGGCAAGTCGAAGTATATCCTGATGATCAATACAATACGTCTTTCATCACACAATTAAGTCTATACGAACAATGCCGTTCGGGATAGCTAATGCTCGTTCCAGCGACTAATGAACAGAACACCATGTAAGTTGGTGCCACGCGCTTGTTTGGTGTATCTGAACAATGTCATAGTACATGGAGCATCTGTTTGAGAACAATTAGAAAATTTGCATATAGTTTTACAACGCCCTCAGAAACTTGGTTCGAAAGTACAACAATCGACATGTCGTCTGTTGAGAAAGTGATTTAAATCCATAGGTCATATCGTTGATAACCAAGGGATGGCGACGTGTTAGAAAGACATTCCTGAAGACTTGCGGCATGGAGGCAAATTAAAATGATGCGCGTCGCGAAACGTAGATATTGGTGGTCATAACAAAGGGAAGACATGCGGAATAATGTCACCACATGCAAGATTTGCCAAATTACTAAAGGCCCAAAGAACGGCATGCGTGCTTTCTTAGTAAATATGAAACCAGGTTACCCGAACAAGATAGTAAGGATTGACATTACTGACCCATTACGGGAAACTGACAGAGAAAATAAGTATATTTTGGTTATGTTTGGTCCCTTTATAAGGTAATGTTGGGTGACTCCCTCTAGAAGCTATGGATGCTCAAACCGTAGCTAAAGAGCTGTTTGAGATTAGGGTTACCCTTGGGGTGCCCCAATTCATTTGCATTCACATAGAAGTACCAAGTTCGAAATCATACTTTCTGAAGGACTATCAATATTTGGCGATTCACAGGACGCGAACAACTGTATACCATCTAGAGGGTTTCAGGCCTGTTGAACGAACAAATGGGACTCTAAACCCTTGTAGTGGCTCACGTTTATCACGAGAACATGACTGGTTTAATAAAAACAATTATTATTATAACCAACTGTACCAGTGTTTGTTTTAACGTGCTTTTGTTTGACTGTGCTAATGACAGCTATTTTGTGCTTCCATTCTTATACTTACACTTTGATTGTAACTTCGCGCGAATTCGGTTACCTTCTGTAACCAAGGTTGTATCCTGGCACGATCTCGGTATCCTTTCGATGCCACGAGATCGCCAGCAAATAAACCTCGACTTGGTCCATTAATTGCCTTCTGGTATTCGGCTTCTCGGGGATTTTATGGAGTCATTTGGAACGAGCTTCTTACGCCTTCTGATCTATTTGGCACGTGTTTCTTGGTAGCAGTGTTCATAGTCAACCGCGACTCGACGCCACGCTACAATTGGTAATCCCAATTCGAATACAATTGGTGACCCGTATTTTGGAACACGCCTCAACTTCTGGTCAAATCTTCCAAAGAAGCCAATTCGGTGAGTCTATGATTTATCTATCCACGTCTGTCGTATATTTTCATATTTTTTAATATATAATATACGCGACATGACGGATAACGATAAGAATAGTATTAATATAATAGACTCACACGTATGTGTACCGAATCCTTGTCACTTTTTATTCGCGTGATGATGAATTCCACGCTTTATTCGAGAAATGTTACCCTATTAACGATTCTCCTCGCTGACCCGGCTGCTTGGTACGGAATGCATACGCATAAGCATATCCGTCTACCACCCAGCACCAAATGGTTAAGTTGAACGGTTTCACTGCCAACTTAAAAGTGTTCTACGAGCACACGAAAACGGCAACTGGCACGAAACCTTACCGCTCGTTCTTTTAGGGGTGAGAACGAGCTTAAAGGCAGATATCCAATGTTCCGCCACTGAGCTTGTATACGGCACGACATTGCGTCTGCCCGGAGAATTATTCACACCACGGAGCAGACCTAATTTCGGTAAATCAGACTACGTCCATCGACTGTCTGCATTTATGCGAACGCTGTCTCCGGTGTCAACTCGAATACGACATCGACAGGTCGCTCTCCCTCAAGAGTTATCTACCTGTTCCCATGTTTTTGTACGAGTAGATTCGGTACGCAAACCTTGGCAACAACCTTACGAAGGCCCTTTTCGCGTGATCGCTCGTCACGTAAAGACCTTCAAGGTTGATCGATATGGACGCGTCGAGATCGTCAGCATTGATCGTCTCAAACCAGCACACGTCGATGACAGTGCCCTATCTGACACCCTGAGATTCAATGCTAGACCTATCAAACCTAGCGGGATCCTTAAATCTCCTTCAGGTCCCACGCTAGATACATCTGAGACCTCATTCTCACGTCCCAGTCAACAGCACGCGTGATCTGCACCGTCTACGGACGAGACGATAGTCTCACGTCCAGATCAGCAGACCACGCCGCCCTTGACTTCGGATGAGATTGCAGGCTCACGAAATACGAACGAGACTGCCGTCTCACGTTCCGGTCGCCGAGTACGGTTACCCGTACGCTTCCGCGAATAGTCGCACAGTCAACAACTGATACGGTGTGGGATTATTCCTATACTACACGTATGCTACACTCTTCTTTTTTTGATTTTCTTTTTGTTTCCTGAGCCCACGCCTTCGACCATCTCCGTTTGGTTCCGTCGACTTCAGTCAACTTTGGCGAAAGCTGGATTGGCCACCCACGCTCTTGTCAACGTAATCAGTCGATATATTGGTTTCGAATGCTTGGCATACGCTTGGTCTCGAACTTGGTCGTTACGGTCGCTTCTGGTCTTTTGGCTCAACGTGGTTTCGTACTTCGTCTGCAGCGTTTATGGTCCGGACCCGTACGAACGCCCTCTTCAGATTCTGGATACAAACCACTCTGGTAGCATGCCGACTCAAGCAACAAATACAACACATCGCTCCTGGTACTGTTCTCCGAAAACGACCTTCGTTGGCAACTCGACGATCAACGATCGCTTTCCTGTTCGCCAATTCTTCCGTCCTACAATCGCTCGTCAGCCGATCAGTCCCACGATTTAAACCGCTATTTATCGAAAGTGTTAACCCTTTCTAGCGGGGGGCTCCTGTAGTGACTCACGTTTATCACGAGAACATGACTGGTTTAATAAAAACAATTATTATTATAACCAACTGTACCAGTGTTTGTTTTAACGTGCTTTTGTTTGACTGTGCTAATGACAGCTATTTTGTGCTTCCATTCTTATACTTACACTTTGATTGTAACTTCGCGCGAATTCGGTTACCTTCTGTAACCAAGGTTGTATCCTGGCACGATCTCGGTATCCTTTCGATGCCACGAGATCGCCAGCAAATAAACCTCGACTTGGTCCATTAATTGCCTTCTGGTATTCGGCTTCTCGGGGATTTTATGGAGTCATTTGGAACGAGCTTCTTACGCCTTCTGATCTATTTGGCACGTGTTTCTTGGTAGCAGTGTTCATAGTCAACCGCGACTCGACGCCACGCTACACCCTACTAAACGTATTTGTTTATCAGGAGGAAGCTAGATCGTTGGGCTTAGCTACAAAATTTCATTGAGTAACAATAAGAACAGAAATTTAAAATGATAATTTTTATGCTTTATCATTATGAGACCTTAAACGAAAGAAGAAATTAAAGAAACAAAGAAACCGAAAGACTAGAAGGACGCCATAGTAAGTCTTGTCTTCAAAACAGGTATGAAACATAAACCTGAGAATTACCGATCCTTTAGCCTAACTAGTGTGGTTGTTAAAATCTTAGAAAAGATTATTTGGAAGGAGCTGTTTAAGTACCTCGATGAAAACCGGATCCTTTCGGAGCAACAGCATGGTTTTCGAATAGGTTATTCCTGTCTCACTAACTTATTAGTGGCTCGTGAAATCTGGTGCGCTCTTAAGGACCAAAATTTACCTGTAGACGTGACCTACATTGATTTCAACAAAGCTTTTGACAAACTTCCACACAATCGGCTGTTATATAAGCTAAGAAATGTCGGAATTTGAGGCAATCTATTGATGTGGATAAAAGACTTAGTTGGGCGCCAACAAATAGTACGGGTGAACTCAAAGTTATCTGGCTGGGAAACTGTGCTTAGTGGAGTGCTCCAGGGTACAGTTTTGGGGCCAGTGCTATGTAAATGACCTTCCTGGTCTCATATCATCGGTCTTGCTATATGCTGACGATGTCAAGATATGGAGAATGATACGATGTAAGAGTGATAGCTTAGAACTTCAAAATGGCCTGAAGAAGTTATCTGAATGGTCTCAAACATGTCAGTTGCCGATAGATACTTCCAAGTGTGTTGTGATGCATATCGGTCATCAAGGCACAGATACATACACGATGAATAACACTGAGCTACCTGTCGTCCAGATACATAATGACTTAGGAGTTATCGTTAGTCAAGACTTAAAGACTACTGCACACTGCCGTGCAATAGCCGCCAAAGGCTTTAGAACCTTATGGTCAATACGTAGGGCTTTTAGTCATGTCGACGCTAAAACGTTTTTAACTTTGTATACAGTGTTCGTACGTCCTAAACTTGAGTACTGCATACAAGCGGCTAGCCCCTGCTTAAAAAAAGACAGTGAGCTTCTGGAAAAGGTTCAGAGAACGGCAACTAAGCTGATTTCCGGAATAGCGAAGCTTTCGTATGAAGCTCGACTGGCCAAGCTGAACCTTTCCCCGTTGTCATATCGCAGAACTAGAGGCGACTTGATTACAGTCTACAAATTGCTAAGTGATAAATTTGCATCTGATATGCCTCATTTTTCTTGTTTTCCAAAACAGAGAACTTACGAGGACACTCCAAAAAAGTTCATAAGCCGAGAACAAATTACTTGTCAGCTGACTATCGACTTCCCCATTGAATCATCAACGAGTGGAATTCACTACCTCAGCACGTGGTTGAGGCTCCATCCGTCGACTCTTTCAAAAAAAAAGTTGGATCAACTGAGAGACCACGATTGCCAGGACGAACATAGGCCATCGACCCTCCTGTCCTCAAAATGAAACTGAAACTAAAACTATTGACCACTGTACAGTGAACGCGGTTGTTGTCGCAACCATGCTTCTGCGCTACTACTTAGATTCCAATGGGGACAGAGTGTATACTCTGAAAGTAAGTCTAAGTAAATTTTATGCTTATCACAATGCTGTAGAAACAACTTAAGTTTTTTTGTTGTCTAAGTTCCATAAGATTAATCGGTAGTCGCAGCTAATAATGGTAATTATTCCGTGGTTAAACATTTAAAACAAATGAAACTTCATTGTTAAAGACTGTTTATCGTATCACTTGAAATGCCTAGGGTATGTAGACACTTATTTCTTTAAAAATTAACCAACAGTGTGCTTATTCTTCATAATGTAGTCAATAAATTTCATTTCTTCCTGAACAGTTGTTTTTATCTAATCACCGTCGATCACCATAACTTCATCTTATCTCTGCTTTTTCATGGCACATTTCCTCACTGTTATGATGCTTACCTGGAATATGTCCTACGTGGTTTATTACTGACCTCACCAAAGCCATTAGTGCCGTTTGGTTACTAAGATGACTAATTGTCATGCAGGGATGCTTTCTTTTTTCAATTCTATTCATACGATCGTAGCTGAAAGCAGTTATCCTTCATATGCTGTTCAATTTAGCGAACGTATCATCACAAAGTCTCAGGTACTAAACGTGGGATCGTTGACTGGGACTTAATCGTTAAACCCCTCACTTGCCTCTTATTTTCAAGAAAGGTTAGGTAGGTTCGCTGCTGAACCTGTCACCCAAAGTTGTGTAGTTGTTGGTTTTCAAGATGAAACGTACGTTAGAAATGTCCGTTGTCATCATTTCTGACGAAGATTATTATTAAAATACCGACAAATATAACAACGTGCCCGTTTCATACACATAGTTCCCTTTATCATTTTGAAAAGGACAAGAACAAAGATTCTAGTAGAATAGCATGAACCCATTTTATTTTATGCTATCCTGCTAGAATCTTTGTTCCTGCTCTTTTCAAAATCTGCCTGTTTCCTTGTTTAAAGATGGACCTTCTGATCTGAGCTCTTTTTTCAGTTGGTCATGAAGTGTGATTTAAGGCGAGCTGCTGTACTCCTTTGTGATATTACCACACGTTAACGCCTACTAGCTCTGCACGTAAAAAGCAAAAATACAGCCTTTCTACATAACTCTGTAATTAGGGGTAGTCGTTCCAGGTTGGCATCTATCCGATCGTCACAACTCTAAGCAACTTAACTCGACAACAGTCGGTTAAGTTTTCTTGTTGGTAAAATTTGTCTTGGTTTTGTACTTGCCTAAGTTGTGTATCTGGATACTCTTTATTCGTTTAGTAAATTTCGGTATCATTATTTTTATCCATCAATAGTATGTTTCTTCTCTTAACCCCCGACCGTTGTTGCTACGTTGACGTGGTGGTCGGGCTTGCCTATCGTGATGAAGCAACCGAGCTATACTGGCTAGAACAACCGTTCCTCAAGGTCCTACCATGTCAGACAGGTCGGTTAAAGAGCGGTGAGACTAAAAGCAATAAACCTAAGGTCCGAAAGCGAAGTCGTACTGCTGACTGTAGAGAGGTGTGACAGCAGTAAGGTGTTTCCTTCAGACAACCAGCATGACAGCGATGCTGCCTTCCCACAATGAGGTGTGGGATTAGAAAAGGTCGACCCTAAAAATGTACATATTGCCTTATCCCACGGATATCCATCTCCGGCGGCAAGGTCTCAGCAAGTATAGAGCTAACACAAAAATTACCCATGAAAAGGTCGTGTGTGACCGACCTTAAGCATTTGTCCCTTGAGCACTACGGTCACGCCTTCAGGTCACTAAGACCGCATCTAATCCAATTTCCTTTTCGTTCCTCTACAACAAAAAAGGAACCTTATTAAGACACTACATCATAGAATCAAGACTATGTGCACTATGGATACGATTGAAGATGAAACAAAGACATTATTTACAACCCTGAAGGAAAATGGATATCCGGAGAAATTTATAAATAATAACTTAGCCAATAAAAGAGCATAGAGAATGCCCAACGGTAAATAAAAAGCCTCTATATATACGCTCACAATTCAGAGGCGACGCACCGAGTGAAATGTTAAGGAGATCAATCCAAAGGACATTTAATGCAGCTAAACTACAACTAGTATTCTCCACACGACCAATAATCACTCCGAGGTTAAAAGATAAATTACCTAGACTAGCCACCTCCTTCTGTATCTATCAATTCAACTGCTCCTGTGGAGCAAGTTATATTGGCAGATGTTTTAGGAATTTTTACATTCGGGCTCGTGAGCACCTACCCGTGTGGTTAAGCAAAAGTGTTGTCAAAACTGTTAACAGCTCCATCTTAGACCATTTAGTCCAAACAGGACATACAGCAAACATAGAGCAATCTTTTGCAATAATCTATCGTGTCAACAGCAGTCTACCTAATTCCGTCAGACTGCGAATCCTACAGACGGCTGAAGCAATTGCTATTTGGATAAAAAAAAGCCAGAACTTTGTATCCAAAAGAAGTATGTTCAGCCGCTCCTTTTACCCTGGCCAACTAGCTAATAACCAATCTTATAATGTGGTGACGTAATCTGATTAATGTTCATTTTATGTCCCAAACTTATTATTATTATTATTATTATTATTATACCCCCTTTCTGAGGAATTTATTCAATATCCACCTCTGAATCTACTATATTTGACCTAATTACTTTACATATTACGCAATTTCCGATTTGTAATCACAATATTCTCTCTCTTACCACATGTCGACCATATTTATTCTGATAATTTATCTCACGATTTCATTTCGCTTATAAACTGATTCAAGTTAACACTTCATATTAGTCATCCCAACATTAACGATTTTATTTATATAACAAACAATTCCTGATTCACATATTACAATTTCCAAATGATGTAGTTTGCCTTAAATCTGGCCAATTTTATGGATTATAATTGTAGAACCTGATGAGAAATTATTGAAAAGAATATTCTTCGTTCATACAATTGTGTATTCATTATCTCCTAACCGTGGCTCGGGGATTGTAGGGCTCACATTTCAACCACTAGATTGCAGGTTCAAGTGTCGTTCCACCGACTTTAGTTTGAACAGCCGGTCAGTATCACTAGCCCGCATTTATTTATTTGTTTGAACATAAATATTAGTACAAAGGGGCACCAAATACGTATGCGCCGTACAATAAGAGTAAAGCCAGTAGTAGCGGCCTAGCCTTCGTGCACAAAGTCTGACCGAAAGCTAAGTACATAAATTTGTATTCGATGATTAGCATCTCCTGATTATATATTAAATTTATCTTGTTTGTTTCCTTATTCAAGCGGTTCCTGGTTTGTCCGTATTCCTACTTCTTAAGTACTTTCTCTAATGCTTCACAGGGCTTTTCTCTCACCGACGTATTATCTGGTTCTATATTGTGTTAATTTTACCTTTCTAGCAGTATTGATTCACCCTAAAACTCATGAGTGACGGTAATAACTGACCTGACTACATGTAGACGGTTTTAAAACCTAAACATCCGGAGTTATTAATTCTTTCATTAAGCTCAATGACACTCAAACATGCACTAGTACTTTTGTAAATTTCCAATGAAAAATTTGATCGCTACCGATTACTTTTTATGTTATCGACCGAACTTTTCTCAGCAATGTCATCAGGATAAGAAACAATGTATCTAAAAATTACAAACACTCGTCGGCGGTAGGTCTTAAGACTTGTAATCTTTGATCTATCTAATGTGGGTTTTTCAGGGATAGCGTCACTAAAGCATGAACTTGCGAGATCTTAAAGTAGACACACTCGATACTACCTTGCAAATCAAAACCATTCTTGGGTAAGTAAAAGTCTCAAGATAATCGTTGTTTCCCGGTTTCCGTACCACTTGATTGTTTAGACGTGTAGGCAGGTCTCTTAACAAATCTGCATTGACGCCTAGTGTTTTGTAAAGAAAAATTGTGTTAGGAATAGTTATGATTGAGATCACGGTTATACGTTGGATCTGTTATTAGAAGTCAACGATACTTATTACTTCAGCGTAAACTTGGTTAAGCAAATTATTTTTACTTGTATTTGCAGTGCAGTTAGCTCTAAAAATGCACCAGTAGCTTTTCAACTTCGTAATTATCATTTCTTTCATTTCCAGTCGTTCGATCCCGAAAACAAACCAACATTCAGTGCACACCCTGCACGTTTCACTCCGGAAGATCGTTATTCAAGGCACCGAATTACATTGAAATCAAGGTTTGGTATCTTACCAAGCCAGGGTACTCCAATTGTGTACTAAGAAAATGACAATAAAATATTTACTTATTTATATGGGTTTTATTGTTTTGTCGAAAGCGTACAATAAATAGTCAGTTGGCAGATGTAGAGATAACAGGAATATCAAATAAATCGCAGACACCTTCTGTATCTTCCAAATTGTAGTTGAAATCACATTCACTGGGGGGTGGACTGAGTGGCAATAATGGACTCACAAATGCTTTCTCTTCTGAAAATAAAAGAAATTTTCTTTTAAACAGACAAATTACAATGTTACGAAATTTACGTCTGGTCATTCTATATTATATGTTTTGTTTCTTAATTTTTGCCCAATTGTAGATGCTGTATCGACTTAGTTTGGGTTTACTTGTTGTGATGACTTAGATGAGCTATATCCCCAGGTCGTACCATACCAGCCACATCTGTTTAAGACCAGCGACTTAAGGTCTGAGAGTAAAGTTTTACTGCAGGCTGTACAGAAGTCTAATGACAGTAGAGTATTATCTTCAGATAATCGGCGGTTGTCTTCTCAGATTTGTGTGAAGGAATCGGAGGGTACACCCTAAAAATAACGCGTTTGATCTTGTCCTACGAATTACTAATGCTGGTCGTAAAGCTTGAAGAGCATAGGGATAACACCAAAAACTGCTTACAACGGGACTGACGGCCCTCCAGCAATTATACCTTGAGCTCTGTAGTCACGCTCCTAAGTCAACAACGTCACTACTAATGGCTGTTTTTTCAAATATTTCGAGAATATATATCACCCCACATTGCGAGCAACTGGGAAGTGACAGCCGTCCACATTATTAGAGAGATCTTGTTTATGGTCAAATCCTTACTTTACTTCCCGATATTTTTTGTTTCTACTATTGATTTCACTTTTTTCTCTGCACACAATCAGTGCTAGCGAGTCAGTTTACGAATTGCTATTTCTAGCATCCTGAAACCACATCCTGAACTGTTGGGGTTTTCTATGTTCAGATATTTTGACCGATTAAACAGCTGACATAGCATGTGTTGCTTCTTCGTAACTCATGCATATACAAACCAAGTGTGGTTACTGGTCTGACATCAACTATCTAATATAGAGAACCAACACGACTCCCTCTTGTGTATTTGCAGATTCTGGTCATGCCTTTGTTCTACTGGACACAGAAAAGCCACATTAAGAAGATATTTTGGAGTTAAACTCAATGATATAAAGGTCAAAAATATATATTTCAGAAACAAATAGTAAAAGACTTGGTTGGTCATGAAATTAATATTCACTGCAATGTAGTTTGGCACGTCATTTAAACAGTGGTGATTTCTACTAATGGGTTGCAGCAAATGGTTAGGATAGGTCACTAGATTTTGTTTGAGTCTACTCAACTGATAGATGCTTGGAAACTCACCTCGTCATGCTCTGAACACGAGGAGCAGAAACAACTTGGAGGTAGACTGGAAAGTTTACTCAGTCATTGTGAGCAGTAGCGGGCGATGAGAACAAGAGATAGAAAAGGTAGCAGCGACAATTAACACCGGACGATTGTTCAGGTTTATCGAGGAAAAATGTATTCGAAGGTCGTCTGCTAGTGAGAAAAACTCCGAAAAAGATAGGACCATGGTCTCCTTTTAACCGGGTAATTGGAACGAACAGTGTAAGCGATAGTCTAACTGACCTCCAGTTGCCGACTATTTTTAAACAACTTAAGTAGGAAATTTACACGTTTCCTAGCTCTTAGTGATATGAACAAGATCATATTTCACTCATAGTGAAATATGATCTTAAGGATATTTGTCCAGTTCTAACAGTTAATTTGGCTTACATACTACCTAAAGGTTGAGAGCTGGATACAACCTCATCCGACTGACCTTAGTCGCCAATCGTCTTATTTTATAAGATAGAAATCCTCTTGCGATAGCCACGAAGGAGTCAATTTGGCTAATACAGTGTCTAAAATGTTCGCCTTTATAACCACTTAATTCTAAGATGCCAAACAGCAAAGCTGGTAAAAACGAGCTCGCTTTAGACTTGGGTGGATATTTTGAACAAATATTCCCTGTTAGTCCAGTCTTTAAACATATGGATACTAACGACACTCGGATGGGAAGCAGTATTCGGCTCCATTGACTGCGACGTTTTGTGGCAGTAATTGTCATGAAGGGATAAAACGAAGATATACATAAACCTTGTGAACGCTCTTAATTCGTAGACTACTGATCGAGTCTAGGCATAGGATGAACTGCCTGATACCTCAATTTGTATTTTACTTTGTTACACAGATACTTTCAGAGGTAACCACCTTATCTATTTTGGAGGTTCCATCAGTCTTGGTGGGCTGGTGTCCAACGGAGTCTCGATGCGAATTTGGGAAGTCTACTTGGCTTTTGGTAACTTACATCAAATGTGGCGTAAGCCCGTCTGTCAATCAGAAAGCGATTATACAGAGAAGCAGTTCGCTTTTTTCTTTACGGACGTGAAGCATGGCTTCTAAAAGTAGAGGACACTCGTAAGTTAGGTGTTTGATCGTAGGTGTCTTCGAAGCATTCTTCGCATACATTAAGATCGTCAGGTGAGTAATTTCGGGATTAAAGTAAGGGTAGTAGGTAAACATGTTAAATCGGTTGGTGATACATTGGTATTTCATTACACGCGATGGTTGGGAGGTGTATCTAACTACCATCTACCTCGAAGCACAATAATGTCTACTGATGTGTCGGTCCGCAGGGAGAAAGCTACGGACTGCTAATGTAAAATTATTCTGACAGCGAATAGAAACTGAGCTGGTTTATTATACCTTGCTGTTCACCAAATAATGAGATATAGTATGTATTTCATATACGTGTGTTCTGGTAAATTTCTCCTTGCTGCGTGTGAATTAAGGGACGGCCATGCACGTGTAGTTGAAATTATGTACGACAACATTAGGCTTAGGTACATGGGAACAGATACAACGGTAAATTGAAAAGCCATTGTGTTACATGTTCAGTTTGTCAATGGGGCAGAAATAAGTAAAAGTGTACTTGAACTTCAACTTTTCTTAAGTGCAACTTACCATTAGATTTCGCGGCGGGACGACGAGCGAGAGCAATCGAGTCCGAAGTTGCTGGTACAGGGAGTACACGAGCTTTGTCACTACCCTCTTCTTGATTTACCAATAAGACGTGAATCGGTGTTGTGAAGCTTTTCACATGAACCTAGACAATGAAATACCTCAAAGAATTAACAAAAGTGGATATTAACAAGTTAAGGAATACCAGGAAGTTAAAAGATTCTCCGAATGCTGTTATATGGCTTTTTCAGGTTTACGTGGACGTGGATTTTCAAGACAGCAAGTGACGTCTCGCAGGAAAAGTCAGGGCCAATGAGCAGATTGTGAACAGAACATTTAAGTTCCGTAATTTGAGGTCGACATTCCCGAAATATATGTTGGTCAAATCCTGATTATAAGCAAGTATCAATCAATGTATATCTAACTGGATTTGACCTACCATATCCATTTTATGTTCATTTTACTCAGAAACCTATTTATTTATTTGAATATATAAATATTGGTACAAGGGGCACCAAATACATATGCGGCACACAAACCTCACTTGATTTTTGTGAGGGCTAGGACACTACCCGGGTGTTCAAACCGAAGCAGGTAGTTTTCTTAGGGAGCCACACCTGGAGCCTTTGACCTAAAGGTCTAACCCACAAGGCAGTGAAGCATCGTAAGAAGATGCAGTCCCATGGTAGCCGGTGACCAACGATTGGTTCATACGCCACTTGTTCCTTCAGGATAGTCGAGCCCATGTACACCGTTGGTTTGGAATCAGGGTTTTCCAACTCTCCTAGGTGGACTCTCCGTGTCCACCAACCCGGTTGAAGCGCCGGATATTTGCTTTTCGTCTTCTCAATTTCGTAAATAACACCGCGCCACGAGAAGGTAGTGAGTAGGACTCAGAAACTTAACTGTATTGGAAAGTCCAACTTGTCTAAAGCTCGCAAATTCCTGTTTTCTTGAACTCTCAGCCAGTGCGGTAGATAGCGAAACTCATCCAAATTCACTCATTTCGTTTAAATTTACTACCCAAAACGTTTGTAACAGAAGTGTTTTATAGATGTTTTAGTTCAGAAACGTTTTGAATATTTCATAGCTTTGGATGCTTTCCGTTCTAGTTAAAAGAACCCACCTATTGATGGTCCTCATGGTAACAAATTTTAGCACCGTCTGTATACATATCTCACTGTGCTATCTGGATGAAAGATGTCAAGAATTACATTCCTGTGAAACGAAGATTCGTGGTATCAGGTTGTTAGCTAATTAAGTTGGTGATTAATAACATTCCGAGTCACCAAGTTTATCGATCCTATTAGAATTGTCTTGAAACCGAAATCAGTAGCGATCTTAATGTGTTACCTTTTTGTTTTCCATATAAATAGTAGGATGAACGATAAAAAGAAGCATTTCAACTTTCTCTTATCTGGATCGTCTTAAAATTTTTTTGAATGGTTTGTATTTCATTTGTTCACAATATTACCAATTATTATTGTGAAGGTCATCTCTTTTTTATTTCTATTGTGTTGACATAAATGCAAAAATTGATTTGTATCAGGCAGATTGTGTAAAGGATTTGCCACAGAAAGAAGACCGATTTTATTTATTTAGCATTCCCTCGTAACATTAAAATCAACAAAATATAACAAGTCTATTATGAATTCAGTAATACACGTCAAAATAATTTTTTACATGATCAACATTAAATACCAGTAGTTACAAAGCTTCATGTGATAAACAGTTCTTAAGTTAGCTCAGAAATAGTGAACGGTCTATTTCTAACTGTGCTTTTACTAATTACTGTGTTACTAAGCTTACCGAATGAATAAGGATATATATATACCGAGTTATATTAAATTAACTAGCCAACAACAAACCTGCCTGTCTAATTATTTCCTTCATTGGGATATTACGAGTATATCATATTTATTATTTAAACCTGTCTGTTGCTAACTTTTTTTAAACATATATATTTACACCTTTAAAGTCTGGG